TATATTTTGAAATGTTTATAATTTAACCATTTCTCAGGTGAGAAGAAATATTTACCTCAATGAAAATATTTAGCGTTTTTGCTGTAATTATTTAGAATATCCCCTAGTTTGTAAAGACCATACATGCTAACAATTGTTAAACTATATATTATCTATGCTTCTAATTTAATGAGTCAAAACACACTAAAAAGTCTAAAACAGCTACAAGGAAATAAAATTTTTCCAATGTAAACACATCGGGAAGACTGAGCTAGTCGTTTCAGCTTTCCCAAACACTTAGTATTACCTACTTATTGTACTTTTCCTTCCTCTCTTTGTAGATGTTTTTACATTTTTCCACTTTTTCAAACATTATATAAGGTAAAATCTAAAAATTAAGGAAAACAGTAAACCAAAATTTAAATAATAAAATGCTTTATAAATTACTCAAGCCAGGTGTCGTGGAGCATGCCTATAGTCCCAGCACTCGGGAGGTTAAGGTGGGAGCATCTCTGTGAGTTCAAGGCCAGCCTGTTCTACACAGTAAGCCTTGTCTAAAAATACAAAAAACAAAACTAAAAAATTACTTAAAAAAAGAAAAGCAATTCTTTGTGAAACAGCACTATTATAAAAAACTATGGACTATAGTATTTATACTATATTTATTATGGGATAGTTATTTCTATCTACAAAACTAACAGAACACTGAATGTGTTCCCACTAGACAAAGAAGTCTTGATAAAAAACAAGATAGGAACCCATAATAATCATTTATTAGCTTAATGACCATTTACTGAGTGACTACAGGTTAACCACATCATAAACATTATCTCACTTAAATGTCACAGCCACTATTAGAAGATTTTAAAGAAGGCTTGATGAAACAGTTATCTGTTACACACAGTAAGTGGTACAATGATTACAAGAAAGGTCTGAATCCAAAGTCTGAGCATGTAACTGCTATCTGTACCTGCATGATGTATTATAACTGAGAAGGGTTGCAGGCAAAAAAAAAGAAAACTTGAAATCTAAAACCTGTCATATTTGGTGATGTGTATTCAGTACCTAATGCAGTATCAAACATATAACAGAACCTTAATAATCATTTCTTATTTAATTTTCAAAGAAGTTAGTTTTGCCCTGTGAATTAAGTACCCAATAAACAGAATTATGATGATAATGTATGATAATGTACAAAAATAATGTATGATAAGGAAAAGGATCAATCCACTGAGATTTGACCATCACAGAAGTCACCAAGTTTCAAAATATCATAAGATCAAATAGAATAACAGTTTGTACGCTGTAAAAACAAACAGGGAAAGAAAATTCATAAATTATATTTAAAACCTTCTTTTTGGTAAGAACAGTTTGCCAAAGGAATATGAGCCCAAACATTTTGTATTTCATTTATTTTGGATTCAGATTTTAGTAAAATGTGTTAGTGCTATTAAGTGTGTGTGTATATGTGTGTGTATCTGTCTGTATCATCAGAAATGTTTTACAATCCAATCCTTTATTTCCAATATTTTCATACATTTTTCAGTTTATTTTTCTTTTCAAAAATCTATGAATAGTAAACCACTTTTAATTAAAAGGTAAATGAATAAAACATCTTTTTATGACTTCTACCATTAATGACATCAAAACTAAGAATTTCAGAAAGATAAAGTGATATTACATTACATTAAATCTATAACTATACTATCAGTTATATATCAGATATTTTCATGCATTATCTCTAATCCTTAATCTGTTAAATTATTTAATATTCACATTGTTCATGTGAAAAAGTAAGCTTGAAGAAACTAAGAAACTAAGAAGCTCAGGTTTACAGTCACTATTAAGTGTTAAAACTGTGATTTAAATCTGGGTCAATCTGACTCCAGTGCTTTCCATCTGCCCATCTGCTTCAAACTACTTATGAACTGAATACATGTTTTACGTGGTTTTAACTGTATCATATTCTGTACATTACACAATGATCTGGTAAAACAAGATGTATGTATGTATGTGTATGTATGTGTGTGTGTAATATATATATATATACATATATATATATATTACACAGCACACATAGAGACATAAAAATAAACATAAGAGGAATCTGAAAGACTAGAAAAACAGCATGGACAAAATGGCAAAACTGGATCACAGCCATCATGTGTTTTTTATAAAACTTTGGTTTATGATCTTTATGTCTTAACCCTATCATAGGAATTATTTTAAGATTAGCATGAAGTCACTTTTTAAAATATCACATCTTTTGAAAGTAATGTTTACTTTTTCAAAAAGTACACATTCATGGTAAAAGACCTGAAAAGGGCAGAAACTGTTCGCTAAAACGTTAACAGCTTCATTTAAAATTCATCAAAATTTGGCTTTTTATGTTATATACATGTACAAATATATTTTTAATGAAATCATAGTTTCCCTCTGCTTATTTCGCTTAACACTGAGTTTCATTTTCTGCAATCATCAACTATTCTTCAGAAAGTTTTTAATTACTGCACAATGTCTTGTAACATAAATATGTCATAATTTAATAATTCTCTTACTGTTTGGTTAATGATCTTGCCACAATTAATGCTATATGAAAACCCTTATATAAAATCTTTGTACTTTATATATAAAAATAGATATTTCTTTAGATGACTTCATATTTTAATTAACATTTTTAATTCTATAGACATACGTTTTTGCATCCTATTTATTTTCAAAGTTTACTTCAATGTTTTTGAAGTATTTTTTTGTGGAACTCTCTGTTTTTTAAACATTTACTTTTGCTTAAGAATACTACCATACTTAGATATATGTGCATATTCATAATATACTTCACCAAATACACTTTTTGATATAAAAACAAGTAGTAATACAAACAAGCATCCACACCTAAATGAATTATTTGTTCTTCATGTAAGAAAGCAGGAATACATGACAGGTAATCACTGGCCTATACTGCTCCTCTTATTAAAATAATAAACATGATATCTTTTGTTGATGTTTTTGCTTTTTGTCTGCACTTGGTACTGATCAAGAAGATAAGATTATTTAAGAATACATATATATTCATGTAATGATAACTTATGAAAACAGCTTAAGAACCACCATGGAACTGAAGTTACTATAGTTTCAAACAAGTGCATTCTTAAACAATTCATTATTTATATTTTTTCTGAAAGTTCACCACAAATTCTCAATCCTCCTGTTTCAGCCTCCCAAGTAGGTGGGAATATCAGAGTACACCAACATGTGAGGCTAAAAGTATGGTGACATAAAAATAATTGTTAATATTTAAAGTAAAATAGATTAAAGTCTTTTAAAAATATAAGTGAAATATTTGAAGATATGTTTTGAACAATAATACTTTAAAATCTTTAGAAGATTTTCATTTTGTATCATTTTGTGATAGGTTTATAGATTGCTTTGTTTCAGAAAAACTACATAGCACTGCTATTTTATCAAGTTATAAAAATACATGACACAACTTTCAGATATTTAACATTTACTAAAAAATATTGTTATTAATGATAAATACATGAATAAAAACTAACCAACTTCTTTTCATGTTATACACACATGATTCAAATTGCTCAATCATGGGAAATAATTATATATCAATGAATAAAGATTTGCAGTATATGCTTAGTTTTATATATATATATATATATATATATATATATATATACACACACACATATATAGCTGAAAAGTAAATATTTTTCCCTAATAAGTTTCCAACCAGAGATAAATAGGCTATGCAGATATATGAAATTTTCCAATTACTTCATCAAGATATAAGGAAAGTTAAGTTTGTAACAGTATACAAATGTACTTTGTGTGTTTGTGTGTGTGTGAGTCAAACAAGTCAGTAAACTTTGAAGTTGCTATAAACCTATATTTGAATTATTTACTTTTAACATATTATTAATTTTTCTTAAAATATATTACTCTCTTTCAAACTGAAACACAAACAAAAACTTTCTAGTAGTTTAACATTAACAGAAAGTAACCATATGGCATTCAGCTGGAGTATTTATTTATGATCACTTTGGCTACATTTTCATAGTACTATTTACTTCTATTTATCACAATAATATTTTGAAGATAGGCTATATAGTTCATCAAACCTCTGCCCTAAAATTCTCAAATTTTTTCACATACATAACCAATTTAAGTGGCTTGGAAAGCATACTTATAACCTCAGATTAATCACATAATTATTTCTTAAAATTGATACAATTGGTGTATAAATTTTAAGTAATCTATCAAATGCCTCTGGATGCTAATGTCTATTATTTTATTAACTTCATCTTCCTTAAAACACAAAAACAGTGTGAGGGAGAGAGCCACAGGGACTTACATGATGGAGAGCATAAACTTTGGAATTACCTGATCATATCTGTAACAAATTACAGATATGTTGAAAAATTCTCTCCTTGCAAGGACCCGTGAGTAAAGATAGACTCCAAAATATATTTAAGGCAGTGATTTATAACATTAAAATGTGGCAACCTTTCACTTTAATCTCAGAGAAAACATCTCTATCATCACTATCAGATTTCAACTTATTAATTGCACAAAACAGATTTTTGAATCAAATGCAGGTTTCCATTGGCAATGAATATATGACTATCTCCATACAAAGGAGAAGTATTTCCTCTCAACAAGCTAAAACAATAAGTGGTATTTGAACTGCTGGTTGAAAGGTAGAGGCACTGGTAATCATTATTTCCCCTTGTTTGTTCAGGCCCTTCCAACAAAACAAACAACCTTTTGTGATTGGATTGACATGGTGTTAACAATGCATTTAATGCCCAAATCAGTATGAATACAGGTAAAGCTCTCACTAATACCAGTACCAGGATGTTAAAGCCACCTATTTTCTAAGCAGCCAAAAAAAAAAGGACAGTGCTTCCCTCCTTTGGCAAATAAGGGAGTATGCTAGTATTCACCAAGATACATCATACAAAAACCTCCGGATGATTCTTCAGGCCGCATGCTAACACTCAATACTATACCTGCTGTCTTTTCAGCAATTGTAGCTTCCATTGCTTTTTCTTGGAGTTCCAGCTTAAACTTTAATTTTTTCTGTTCTTTATTTTCTTTAGTCAGTTTTTCTTGAAGCTAAAACACATTGAAAAACATGTTGATTTTATCTACAAACATCTTTCACAAATATAATCGCAAAGTAAAATTCTGTTTTTTCCTAACCCTTTGTGCAATATTATATTTAATTGCATAAATATATTAAATCCAAGTGAAAAATTAAGGTTGTAACATATTTTATAAAGTAATGGATATTTTTAATTATACAGAAATTATAAAAACACAAACTTAGAGAGACATTGTTATTAAAATAATTACTGCAAAAATAATCTCATTTATTCTTTTGTTTTAAAGCAAAACCGAAGAGATTCACCTAATAAAATAACCAATAGCACATTTTTACAGATTCTCTTCGTAATTCCAATATTTTGAAACAAATGAATAAAGATAATCATCTTAATATCTGATACAAATCTTTTGTGAATGTTATCTCATCATATTCCATTTAAATTGGCACTGGCATCTGACTCATAATTGGCATGTAATAACTGATAAATGAAAGTACAGAAAATGTCTCATGCTGTCATACAGAATGGTTCCAAATTTTTTTAAATTTCTTTCTAGGCTTTTGTCATTTGTTTTTTTCCCAGACATGATCAACATTCCTAACATCATGCTTCAATTTGATTAGGTCAAACAATAAGAATATTAAAAATCAGAAAACTAATAATATTAAAATCAGAAAAGTATGTAGAGTTGCTTTTAAAAAGAAAGGCACAGAAAATTAAAATTATGCAATAATATTACTTAGGACCCAGAGGAATGTAACTAGAATAAGAGTTAGAAAAGAAAAATAAGACATACTATGACAAATGGTACTTAATAAAATGAAATAGTATGTAACACCACTAAACGACAATATCACCAAGCCTTCTTACTTTAACATTTAATTTCATTTACTGAATTATAGAGTTGAAATACAGGGCACAGATACTAACTAAACACAAAAGAAAAGTTAAGAAAGTAACATAAAACCAATGCCTAGTATTTTTCATTTTTCATAATGGTGAAGTTAATTTAAGTTTTATAATTGCAAAACTTGAATGAGTCTTTCTTTTCTTTTGGGAGGTACATACATATGGTACCATAGGCTTACAAAAAAAACAAAGTGACATTACAGATCAGCAAGACAGGAAACAAAAAAAATTATTTTCACAGCCAATTATTTAGGTCAACTATATTCTGATGGCAAAGAATGCAACAGTTGGCCAGGGATTTAGCTCAGTGGCACTGCACCTGCCTCGCAAGTGCAAGGTCTTGAGTTCAATCCCCGGTACCAAAAAAAAAAAAAAAAAAAAGAAAAAAAA